TGATTTTTTACAGAGAGGAAGGGAGAGAGATAGAGAGCTAGAAACATCGATGAGAGAGAAACATCAATCAGCTGCCTCCTGCACATCTCCCACTGGGGATATGCCTGCAACCAAGGTACACGCCCTTGACCGGAATCGAACCTGGGACCCTTCAGTCCGCAGGCCGATGCTCTATCCACTGAGCCAAACCGCTTTCGGCGAGGGTTCCTTTTTCTCCACATCCTTACCAGCATTTGTTGTTCGTTGATTTGTTGATGATAGCCATGCTGACAGGTGTGAGATGGTACCTTGTTATTTTGATTCAATAATTTTTTAAAAAAATTAAAATAACATAAACAATATTGTCAATTAAAAAACAAAAAAAACAAAAAACATATACAAAGATGACGTCCAGAATAATTGTTCAAAATAGTTTTATAAAAACATAAAAATAGTCATCAAAAATTAAAATTGGCCCTAGCTGGTTTGGCTGAGTGTACAGAGTGTTGGCCTGTAGACTCAAGCGTCCTGGGTTCAATTCCGGTCAAGGGCACATGCCCGTGTTGCAGACTCGATCCCCAGTGGGTCTCATTGTTGATGTTTCTATCTCTCTCTCCCTCTCCCTTCCTCTCTGAAATCAATTTTTTAAAAAAATATATTTTATTGATTTTTTTACAGAGAGGAAGGGAGAGAGATAGTTAGAAATATCGATGAGAGAAACATCGATCAGCTGCCTCCTGCACATCTCCCACTGGGGATGTGCCCGCAACCTAGGCACACGACCCTGACCAGAATCAAACCTGGGACCTTTCAGTCTGCAGGCCGACGCTCTATCCAACGAGCAGAACCGGTTTCAGCTGAAATCAATTTTTTAATAAAATTAAAAAAAAAAAAGACCAAAATGAACCCCCACCCTCCCACAACCAGAAAAGGAAAGGGAACCCTCATACACTGTTGATGGAAATGTAGATTAATGCAGCCACGATGGAAATTCCTTAAAGAATTAAAACTAGACCCACCAACGCCCCAGCAATTCCACTTCTAGGTAAAGTAGTTCCCCCTTTCCTTTCATTTTCTGCAGCTTCAGTTACCCACGGTCAACCTCAGTCTGAAACATTAAAATTCCAGAAATAAAAAATAAGTTTTAAATTGCACACCCTTCTGAGTAGCAGATGAAATCTTGCAACACCCCACTCCATTCTACAAATCATCCCTTTGTCAAGCATATCCATGTGTATATATTACCTGCCTGATAAGTCACTTAGTAGCCATCTTGGTTATCAGAACAACTGATGAAGTACCACATTGCTTGTGTTCAAGTCACCTTTATTCTACTTTATCTCCTGCAGATAAAGGGGGAACTACTGTATTTATCTGCAACCCCCTAAGTGTCTACTGACAGATGAATAAAGAAAAGTGATACATACACACGGGAATATTATTCAGCCATACCAAAGAAGGAAATTCTCCGATTTGTGACAACATGGATGGTCCTTGAGGGCATTATGCTAAGTGAAACAGGTCAAACAAAGACAAATACTGTATGATTTCACTTATACGTGGAGGCACAGGATGGGGAAGTGAATGAAAAGGGTGAAGATGGGGGAAAAAGAATACTGTTATGACACATCACTGTAAGGACACACCCGCTGTGGGACGATCTCAGATATCAGCTGAGGGTCCCACAGGTGCCAGTGCACACAGACACAACCCACACCACAGTGGTCACCTCTTGTGTAAACAGGAACTTGCATGTTTTGCTTGTACATTTCTATACTGCTTACGTTTCTTTACAACCAGAATCTGTTAGGTAATTAATGGGAAAATATAATAAATACTTATTTATCCTTCCATAGTCACACACAGAGGAAGTCCTTCAGGAAAACCCAGTTTCTGGGCCTTTCAAGGACAATGAGCTGTGCCAATAGGAGAGCACAGTTACTCCTGGCTCAAGTCTCTTCCCTGAACTCCGACCAGACTCACATCTCTACGTAGATGTTCTTACACATCTCAAACTGAGTATGGCCACAGTCAATTTATACTCCCTACATCCTCCTCACGCCAACACACAGCTCCTAGTCTTTCCTACCTGTGGAGATGGTCACTCAAGGCCAGAACCATAACACCAGCTCCATTCCCCCTTTGCTTTCCTCACAACTGATGACCAAGAAATCTTATCAGCTCTATACCCAGGCCCTTCCCACCCTCACCTGATTTAAACTTCCACCTCCTCCTTCTGAGCTCTCCCAGCTGGCTCCTCACTATTCTTGCTGCTACTGCCCCTACCACCTGCATTTACTCACAAGGCAGCAGGTCCCAACCTCCTCCACTGGCCCCATTTCACTCAAGTCAATGCCAGAGGCTAAACAGCCCCAAGGACCTTCTTGCACAGGTAGGCATAGCAGCGTGACACCTGTCCCTGCCTGTCCTATTTGCCGAGTGCTACATCCACAGGAGTCCGGGTGCAGCAGGTTCCTCTCCCTCTTCTATGCTTTACTCTCGGGGGTGGGGGATGGAGGGTGGTGTCTAGATCTTTCCAGGTAAGAATTAAGTCACCAGAGTTCTCGTGTAGCTGAAGATAGCCCAGTCCAGTGCTGCACTACTGTGTACACAGGTCTTTCTAGGCCAGCCAAGACCTTGCTCAACTAAACATGCTGTGAGTTTATTTTCTTTTAACTGCCTCTTAGGTACTTAGCAGACCTCAACTGTTATCAGCAACACTGCAATGAAAGTAGGGGTTTCCTTACTATGTGCTATCTCGGGCTCACCTCCTGCTCAGCCGCTCCTCCCGTTCCCTCTCTTCTCTCCTCCTCAAGCGATCCTGGTTTCTCTTCTCCTGTTTTTCAGCCACAGTTTTCTAAATAAATGAGAAATTGGAAAATGAGAGAAGAGAAAGTTACTAGAGTTTAAATATTGTTTAATAAAGCACATTTATATGACCTCAGGATTGGTAATTTAAAAATCTAAGAGAAAGTCTTAAAAAACAGGAACATGGTCAATTTAAAAACTTCTTAAACAATGAAAAATGGAAAACTCATTTTAAAATGCTTTATCATCACACTAAAAAAATTGTAAACATATTTTTATTGATTTCAGAGAGGAAGAGAGCGGGAGAGATAGAAACATCAATGATGAGAGACAATCATCGATCGGCCACCTACAGCATGCCCCCTACTGGGAATTGAGCCCACAACCTAGGCATGTGCCCTGACCAGTAATCAAGCTAGGTTCTCCTGGTTCATAGGTCAACACTCAACCACTGAACCACACTGGCTGGACTATCATTACATTTTATAAATTCAGTGACATAGTGCATACCTTCTTTTTTTTAATCCTCACCTAAGGAGGATATTTTTTCCATTGATTTTTAGAGTGGAAGGAAGGGGGGATGGTGTAAGGGAGGGAGGGGAAGAGAGAAACATGGATGTGCGATAGACACATTGACTGATTGCCTCTCACACTCGCACTGATCAACGGCAGGGATTTCAACTGCAAACCCAGGTATGTGCCCTTGACCAGGAATCAAACTGGCGACCCTTCACTGCCCAAGCTGACACTCTAACCACTGAGCTTGCCAGCCAGGGCGAGAAACTGCATAGTCTAAGAGATGTTGTACTTCTAAGTCACAGAAAATGTATCATATTGCTTTAAATCAATCCATAAAGTTAGTTTTCTATCCAAAGGAGCTCCACCAACTTTACGGTGAAAGAGAACACAGGTATCAGACCAAATACATCTTGTTGCTGGGAGCCAAGCTCCTGCTGTCGAGGAGCAGCCAGTCTTCAGGTGCCTTTAGACCTGGCCTCACAGAGAAGCAGGCAGGGGAAGTGGACCATGAACCTCCAATCGTTAACACATGGCTCATCAGGCTTGATTGTGAACCCAACAGAAAAGAAAATGCAACGGGCTGGAGGAGGCCTTGAGAAACTTGCACTACTGGAACACAACACAGCTTAGTGCAAAGCAGTTCAATCTGCACATCCCCCAACCCAACATCTTTCAAACCTTTCAATGGCCTGATCTCTTTGCTCAGTAAAATGAAGTCCTGAAGAGAAGCCCAAGCCAATGAGACAGTCACCAGTGTTCTCATACCCATGAAGGCATGAAGGAAGATCTTAAATCTCAGTGTGGACTGGAACCAGGCCAGGTCCCCAGGAGGAGAAGGCACAGCAAGGTCTGAGAGAGAGGCTAGCTTTCCTCCCTGAAGCACTCTCCAGCTATGAGAACCTTCCTGTCTGGCACCTGCAGCTCTACACCTGGGACTCCAACCACTTGCACCTGGAGCAGGCACACACAATGGACAGGTTAATATTAATAATAGAAGTCTCAGCACCTCTGCTCCCATGCGCACTTCCTCAAAAAATCTGACCGTGAACAGACCTGTAGGCAGGCATCATTTCCTTTCCAAACTCTTCCCACTCCCTAGAAAACGATCTTTCCCCACCCGACAAATAAGGCCTTAGTCTTCTATACCCCCGCATTTACTTCAGTGTGTGGCTCTGAGATGTGAACACCTCTGGGACCACTGTGAAGTCATCTCTGATTAGAGCATAGAACTCCCACCCTCTTTATCATTTAGAGCTACCCTTCCAAATACATTTTCTGTTGTTAGTTTAATAGCTATTTAACAAAATCTGTATTTAACAAAATGTGTAATACACTTGTTTTGTTTTGGTCAACTATATACTACTCATCACTGTAAAGATAAAACATACTTTCTAGATCAACTGAGTAATTAAGTTTTTAAGGTTTTAGGGAAAAATATTTTAATAAATTCACCTTTCTGATGTAGATATGCGTTACAGAAATGAAAAGCTTTCAGGACAAAATTATGGAGTGATGTGGCATGGAACTACAATTTAAAGGAGAAATGGGCCCTCACTGGTTTTGCTCGGTGGATAGAGTGTTGGCCCTCGAACTGAAGGGTCCCAGATTCGATTCCGGTCAAGAGCACATGCCTCGGTTGCGCCTGAATCTCTGGGGCAACCAATCAATGTGTATCTCTCATGTCGATGTTTCTCTCTGTCTCTCCACCTCCCTTCAACTCTCTCTAAAAATCAATGGAAAAATATCCTCAGGTGAGGATTAACAACAACAAAAAAGAAAGTGAGAGAGAGAGAAATGGGAATGTGGCATTTCCAAATGCTAAGGAGATTTTTTAAATGGGGACAAACACAAAATTGTTATTTATGTTCTACTGGCTACATATATTTTTACAACTCTGATACCCATAAACTTATAAAGTAAAAATTCTGACTTAAAAACATGTGACAAAGCATATTAATTTTCAAAATCCCACTGGGAGCACAGGAATAAAATGTGTCAAGACCAGTGGCTGAGAACATCCCCACTGCCACCCCAGCTCCCTTGCCCAGTGCTGAGATCACACATCACCTTCCTGGGGACCCCTCCTTCGATGCAGAGCTCTGCTACCCACTGCTCCTTCCTGAGAGGCACACAAGGGTCTCAGTCTTATCAGTGTCCTACAGTTAGGTGCCACATGTCTGTCCTTCCACCAGATTTCAAGTGTCTAGAGGGAAGGCCTACCTATTTCCCAGCATCCCATCTTTAACACAGTACACAGCAGGGAAGACTCCTGTCAGTTTGGAGAACGATAATTCGAAGTCTGAAATATGTTCACCCTTTCTTCTTAGTGTTCTGTACTCAAGATGTCAAATGTTTTACAGTCTAACCCAGGAAAACAACTACCTTCTCAGCCTAAGTTGGCTCAGGGCAAGGGCCAGGATGTGTCGCCTCCCATCTAGCCTAAGCATTCGTCATGCATTGCCTCTGTCCAAAGAGAAAAACTAGAGGCTGCTGGTTTCCCCCATCTCCTAACAGAAGTTATTTCGGAGATGTGCAAGAGGTGTCCACATCCTGTACTGGACTCTGCCATTATCCTTATAAAAAGGGAATGCAGACTAAATAAATGTCCAAGGCCCCTTTGGTCTCTTGTGTGAGTGATGAATTGAGCATTTATTTCACTATAAAATTCAAGGCGCATTCTTAGGATAAAAACAAAAGTTTTCTAGAAGGAAATAAATGTGAAAAGATCACAAGACTTCTTACCCTCAACTGATCAAGCTTCTCTCGGATCTGAATGAACCCCAAGTGCAATTTGCCCCCAAAGTGGTCTGCGAGACGACGGTCATTATCATGGAGACCAAGGTAGGCTGAGCAGACTTCACAGACACGCAACTTCTGCTGTTGAAAACTGGATGCAGGCATAGAATTTCTGTATTCTTCCTGGAAAAAGAGAATGGAGTGATGAAAATGCCACCAAATAGTCAACCCCTAAAATGGAAATAATTGAAGGGACTATAGAAGTGAGTTAAAATAAATAAATAAATAAGAATTTGATCATTTCAAAGTTCCAGATATTTTTAACCAATTTAACTTCATCATTTATTTAAGAAATGAACCAACAGCCCTGGCCAGTTCAGTTGTTTAGAGAGTCGGCCCGATAGACCAAGGTTGCAGGTTCAATCCCTGGTCAGGGCATATATAAAAATCAACCAGTGAATGCATAAATAAATGGAAAGGATCGATTTTCTCTCTCTCTCTCTCTCTAAAAATCAATTAAAAAAATTTTTTTGAAAGAATCAAAAAACCATGATTTTAAAACAAGGAAAATTCAAAACATGCAGACCAGCAGGATGCTGCCTATTTGCAGAGGAAATAGTGAAGGCAGGTCTTTAGGCAGTACAGGGAGTGAAGACCAGAGAAGCAAAACAGGAGAATCTTCAGCAGGGTCCTTCAAAAAATAAACCAAATGAACAAGCAAAAAAACTCGAGCACCATCCACAGGATTTGTCCCAATGTCTAGGAAGCTATATCCCAATGCAGCGCCAAGATAAAATTTGGAAGGACAAAAATGTTAGACACTCTCTTCAAAGAAGAAAGTATGCACAACAAAACCAGTTCCCTCCTGCAGCCACTACAGTCTGAGTCCAATCACAAGAAGTAACCACTCAGGCTCAAAATATATGACACGAAAAAAAATGAAACATGACATGAAACTGCTGCTTGTGCCCAAGTTAGAATGCTCCTTCAAACTCCAGGTTTAAGATATGCATTACAACAGTCACTTATCCTTAAAGGGAGGCCTGATTGTAAGTAACCTATTAATCCACACATTCAAAACATTTCCCAGGAGACTGGCTGGGCATCTGTGGTGAACGCCACATCTACAATTACTTTAGCCCATGTGTAAATCTTTGAGCCATCACAGACTCTGGTGTCTGCTTGCTTCTTTGAAGCAGGAAGAGCTGGCCTTCAGTGTGCGGTAAGAGGCCACGGAGGGTCTCTCCTAACTCTCTGGTCTTCCTGGTACAGCTGAGCTGTCAACAGCAACTCCGAGAGCCTAACTCTGTACTACATATAAACACAAATTTCCCATTTAAGTATACAGAGATTTAGTTCCTATAAAGGACTTAAATGAACATACGACCCTTTGGTGCTTAGGCCATTGCTCTAACCACTGAGCCCGGGGGGCCAGGGTAAATTTATCTTTTAGTGTGATCAATCTAAGCAATTATATACAAAAACATCAGATATGTATTGCGAATTCTTTTGTCTCTCTTTTACGTCAAGAATGGATTATATTACCTACAAATATCACTGAAAGGGATGCTGGTGTGACAGGTGCATGAAGCATTATCGCAGTGCCACCTTCCAACAAACACTGCTGACCTCAATTCCAGCCTGTGCTGCTGGGGCACCATGGAAAGGTGTCCTGACAGCCCCATCATGAGCAACCCCATTGCTGTCTCTTCAACTTGTCACTCCTTCAGCAAGCACTGCTCTAACACCCATGACCCTTGGCACCATCCTATTACGTATGCCATGCTGAGCCAGAGGTGGTGACAACCAAAACCAGACCTACACCGAGGCACCTATATGCCATCTCCTCATCTCTACCTGGTCCTCCTACCCCCACCACTTCGATAAACTTCTCAGTCTGTGGATCTCAGCTAAGTGGCCTTCAGGATTAACTTACCCTACCTGGAGACCCCATACAACCCAAAATCACTCTCAAATTCAGACCCCATTTCTTCTTAATTAATCTTACCCAACTGTTCACATTCTCTTCTGTCTGTGCCCCCACCCATTCTCCAGTGCCATCTCCATCAGGGGAGGCCCTCTTCCAGCTTGCTCACAACTAAAAAAGTGCCTGGCATTGAGCTGAAGCTTGGTGAGCACACCCTGTCTCACTCTGGCTCTACCATTCTCAAGCTACTTCTAACTGTAGTGGTGAGATTCAAGGACAAGGTATCCAACAGATAAAATAATCTAGTAAGAAAACAGTTATCAATGAAAAAAACACTGAGCCCTTGATCTGTTTCGCTATCACACTGCCAGTGTGTCCTGGCCTGGCACCCAGGCCAATACCACTTGTATGCTACCCCAACCTGCACAGGCTCTCTCTACCGAAGATGCAGCATCAAAGGTTTCATTCTTTACAGCAATCTGCAATACAACTGTGGTCCAATCACACAAGCTATAAAACCACCACAGCCCACCAACTCCCCAGGGAGCTGGAGGAATAAGCAGTAAAACTGGTCTCTATGGAACCTCACAATGGCATTATGCTCAGATCGGGTAAGTGACTGGTCTTAGGTTACAAAGGGACCCCAGGGGGTACAGTAAAGACAAGCCCAATCCTGTCAATGTCTCCCCTTATTTTAACTCCTTCCTAAGATTCAAAAATAGAGGCATGGCTTAAATTTCAGTCCAGAGTCAACTCTCTGGAATTACTGTTTCCCCTTTCTCTAAGACATTTTTCTCACCAACCTCAGCTTCTTTTTTCTTTGCACGGACTTTCTCCACTTCCATAAGAATTTTCTGGGATTCATCCACATTTCCTTCTGCTCCCAGCTGCTCAGCTTTAGCAAGAAGTTTTCCTATTTCTTCATTCAACTCATGTACTTTTTCTGCCTAAGGAGAGAGAGAAACAATCAAATAAACAGGCATCTAAAAAACAAAAGATTTTTAATACAAAGAAAATGAGTGTGTCGCCTGCTGAATTTCTGGTCTGTTCCACTGAAAATAAACAGAACAGTTAAAGATCCTTGGTGGCTCACATGAATTGTGACAATTACGACATCCTTATTGCCAACACTGAGACTCCGACCATAAGCTAAACCTGTACACCATGTTTCAATAAAAGCAGCGGCATCTGTCACTTCCAATATGGCTGCAAGGATCAACACTGGTTATTTTCTAGGCTGTGTCTTCTTATGTCTCCTACACAGTTCGATATTTAGGGGTAAGAGTAATAAAATGTCTATGTTTAAATACATGAAACTTAGACTGTAAGCAAAATGCCTAATTATTTGTATTTACTTTCAGAAATAAAACAGCACTTTGGACCAGTTAGCAATTGCATATATTCTAAGAAATGCTTTTACAAAACTGAAAGGGAAAAAACAATGAGCAGTTTTAGTTCTACTGAACAGGGAGTACAGAAGAGTAACGCAGCTGACACCCAGGCCAATTATATACAGATCTACCTTCATTCCAGGATATGTACTAAAGTTCAAACATTTCCCCACTTCCCATTTCCGGTGTATGTAGGATACTAAAAACACAAAGTTTAAAAAGTATGTATGGTGGGGGCAGGAACAGCAGCAGTAGCTCCTGGGAGCTGAGAGCTCACTGACAGCCACCCTTTTACTGGAAACACTCAAGGCAGAGTGTCCATCCAAAGATGCACTATCAGTGCTGATGTTGAGCTGTAAGTCCGTCGGCAGCCCAGTTCTTACCAGACCGTGATTTGTACCAATAACTCAAGGCGAAAACCTCCCAAACATACCTTTGCAGAAACTTCTGCACTGATCTCCTCCTGTGTCTCTGCCAGCCGCTTCTTGGCAAGTTCAGTTCTCCGATCACACTCAGCGATAAAGGACTCCAAGTGATCCATTGCCTAGCGCAGGAGAAGCAGAGAGAGCTGGGATCAATGACATGTATGATCTAAGAACCCTTTGTTCGACAGGAAAATACTCCTGAGTTGATTTCTTAAAGCCTGTAGGTTCAGTGGGAAGATCTGAAACTACACTCCAGCCAACACATCCATAGTCACATTAAATCAAGGGGCTTTGTTAACCAAATGATCATTCAGGAGCATAGTCTTCTCATCTGATTGATTTATTTCCAAATTTTGTAATAGGTACCCCATCCCTCAACATTTCCAAGAAAATACTAAGGAAAATTACAACACTTGGCCATAATGAATAGTGTTCTCTGAGGGACAGAAAAGGCTGGATCGAAACTGGTGTTAGAGCCCTCCTCTGGTGAGCTGTGGGAAATGCAGATGATGTACTCACTGGTCTTTGTGAGCCACGCAAATATTACCCCTCATGTTCTGAGGGTAGAGCTCCCCCTTCCACCTCAAAACAAAACAATAGAACAAATATTACTGAGAGCTGTGAATACGTTTAGTTATTGCCTACTGTCTAAAATACCAGGAAAACTGGTAGACTACTTACCCAAAAAGATAAAGGAAAAGAAACTCTAGAAACCTAAATGCTTACTCTGGAAAGAGTTGGCAGGGAACAATAAAATACTAATTAACAAACTGTCACATACTAGTATACTAAGCAGTTAATTTGTCATACTAGTCAAAGGCCCAACATTAATTTCACATACATACAAATAGGAAATCACTTGTCCAACTTTCAGGCTACCACCAGTAATAAGCAGTATCTCCTAAGTTATACACATGAGCCAGTCTGCTAATGTCAGCATCACCTTGAAAGCAAGGAAGTGTAGCCATGGATGACAAAGTCAGACAGTGTGATCTATCATTAACAAAAGAAAAAGAGAGAGAGAGAGAAAAGAAAATTTTGGGTGGAAATGATAACAAGGAAGATGAAAGTTAGGCCAACAGACCAAGTGGTGGTAATCCATATCCCTCCCCTCAAAGACGGCCAGGAGAGAGCAGGTGAGCTATTAAGAAAGTGCTCCACAAGGATTGGTTGACACTAGAATAACATTTCACTATGTTCAAATCAAACAATCAGGAATGCAAATGATTGGCATTTGTTTGACTGGATGCCCTGTGTTTCCTGGAAAAATATAGAGTAAATCAGTTGTGCGGACAAATTTGAACTCACCAGGATCAAAGTTCCAATGAGCTGATATGGGTCACATACCATCTGTGCTCACCTAGGACACAGCTCCTAAGAGATGCCCCAGTTCATCCACACACAGGCACTGAGACTTTGGAGCGGAGCCCCTCTTATGTCTACACAAAAAGAGCCATTTCACACCCAAGGCAGACCCAGGGGCCCAATAGAGAATAGACATCTGACGACAGTGCCAGTGTCTTTACCAATCAGAGAAACCACTTGTATCTTAAGCAGAATCCAAATGGGCAGGGTCCAGAATCAGACTTCTGATCAGTTATGAACTAAACAGTAAACTTCACAAAATAGAATAGGCAGACCGAGAGGTGTTTTAACTGCCAGATTTTTCTTCTTTTCTTTTTTTAAATTCTCACTTAAAAAAAAAAAAATTCCTCATCCGAAGATATGTTTTTGATTGATTTTAGAGAGCACGAGAGAGGGGGGTTGGGAGAGAAACATCGATGTGAAAAACATCATTTAGTTGCCTCCAAAAGAGATCGAACCCATAACCTAGGTCTATGCTCTGACCAGGACGACACTCCAACCCAGTGAGCCACCCGGCCAGGACTAACTGCCAGCTTCTACTGCCCCTCCCTCTCTTCAATGTGCTTCTCAATTTCAGAGTGAAATCAAAGAGCAGGTCTAAATGATTTTTTTTAATGTTGCATTTCTTGAAATACTTGGTTACTCTCCACATGGTAATAACAGTAATTGCTATAATGGATTAAATTCTATTACAGACATCTCAGCAGAAAATTGAAAGATTAATATTTAAATTAAGCCACTTTCTTCTATACTAGAAAACTAACTAAAAAGGCCATGAAAAATAGATCTGATTCTCAATAGCAATGAAAATGTTTAAAAACTATAAAAAAACTTTATTGAAATACATCTGAGGTTCCATAGCTCAATCAAAATGCACAATTTTAAAAGGACTGATTTTATTGTACAAAAATTGCTCTTTAAAAAGCTGTTTAAAACGAGGCACCCTTGCTAGATGGTGTGGCTCAACAGTTGAGTGTCGACCCCTGCCCAAGAGATTATTGGTTCGATTCTGAGTCAGGGCACATGCCTGGGTTGCAGGCTCCATCCCCAGCACGAGGTGTACAAAAGGCAGCCAATCGATGTTGTTTCTCTCTCATCAATATTTCTCTCTCCCCCTCCTCTCTCTAATATCAATAAAAACATTTTTAAAAAATAAATAAAGTGAGGTACCCTTTCCAGGGTCATTGTATTATGACCATTTATTGTGGTATTCTTTTATGTATTTCAGTAAATGATTTTTTTAAAGGTATTTGCATATAAAAATTAAGTCCTAATCACAACTTACTAGAAAATCATCCAACTTCTCATAACTCGAGGGTGATGAGAGGAAACATGTACTACGGTATTTGAGCACAGCACAGCACTGGCACACAGGTCTCGCTGCTGCTGAGGAGGCTGTCCCCTCACACACAGGACTGTCTGTGACTGTGCTGTTTCTGATTCTGCCTGCCCAGCAGCAGTGACACCAGCCAGCAATCCATGAGCCTGAGACAAAACAAGGTTGTCAGAATGGTCACAGCAAGCATGTGCCAATGGACAGTGTTGCCTGTTCCACACATGCCTCAGAATAGCTGTACAGGGATTTCCATTTCTCAGACGAAGAAGCTGAGTATAGGTTCCAAACCACTAAGTGATAGTAGTATGCAAGGACCCCTGTGGTCTAGCTCCCTACATTTAATCCTCACAACTCTGAGACGGTTAACACCAGCCCAGTTTCCAGATGAATAGAAACAGGTGAAATAACTTGCCCAAGGCGACACAGGGATTCTAACCCAGGATATCTGACTTATAAAATAAAATATAACTATTAAAAATATATATATATACATATACTGTGCATATATAAGACTGAAAAACGAGGTATAACCAGACAGAACTGGTCACATTTGGTATATTAAGACAGTTTCAAAATTAGTTAACACGGTGTGTTGTTCTAGAAACCTGTCAAGTAGAACATCACAGAACAAGACAATTTAAAGAAAAGGTCAACTGTATTTACACTAAATTAAAGAGAAACAAATTATTTTCATTTTCAACATCTGGATACTTAAGAAATGTACTGCTTTGTAACTTTTCCATAGGTTAAACTAATGAGTTAACATTGCTATTTGCCAGTGTTCAAGTTGAGAAACTTGCAAGAAATGCATTTACATAGAGTACCTAATAGCAAGTATTACATGCCCTTTCCTAGAAAATTCCTAGATAAAACACTCAAGAAAGCAAGGTCTGGTCCTGGCATGGTCAGGCTGAGGCTGCATTAGGATGGAAGCTAATGGTAGGCACCTTCTCCCAGATAAAACACCCAAGTTTTGGGTGGCTCCTGAGTGGAAAGGTGCCAGAAGTCCTGTCCATCACCCTTAAACTGAGAGTATAGGCAGGGAAGACCTACACAAAGAAATATCTTGATGAAACTCTGTCAAGCCCACAAAGAAATACAGTGGGGCCTTGACTTACAAGTGTCCTGATTAACGAGTTTTTTGAGATGCCAGCTGTCTCTCGGCTGATTTTTTGCTTTGAGTTGACAGAGTAATTTGAGTTAACGAGCTCCTTAACTAGCTCGGTCTCAGAACAAATTAAACTCGTAAGTCAAGACCCCACTGTACATTTTTACACCTTTTGGGTCTCTCGCTAACGAAGACCCAGAGTTTGACAACTCACTGTCAGTGAAGATGTGAAAACGAACTCTGATACACCATGGTGAGAGCATTAGCTATGGCACTATCCACTTAAGAGTTTGGTAAATAACCGTTTAAATTGTGTTAAACTATAAATTGGAATTACAAAATAGTCACAGGAATGTAAAATACAGCATAGGGAATACAGTCAATAGTACTGTAATAACTATGCGCAATGCCAGGTGGGTACATGAAATATTGGGGGGGATCACTTTGTAAAGTATATGACTGTATAACTGCTATGCTGTACACCTGACATACAAAATATTGAATGTAAACTGCAATTGAAAAATAAAAATTTAAAAAGTATATAAAAACACAAAATTTTAATTCCAACTAAACAGGTTTTGCAAGTTTCCTTTTTATCTTTTTCACATCAATATACACATCTATGATCTACGGCTTACAGAGGTCCTCAAACTTTTTAAACAGGGGGCCAGTTCACTGTCCCTCAGACATTCCACACATGCGCACTGCGGGCCCAGGACGAGTCAGCTGCTAAGGAGGACAGGAAGCAGCAGCAAAAACACCCGGCGGGCCGGATAAATGTTTTTGGCTGGCTGCATGTGGCCTGCGGGCTGTAGTTTGAGGACCCCTGGTGTAGTATTTCACTTATTTTAACACAACTATGGTAACCCCTCTAATAAATACGTAGTTGGGATTTTTCAATTTCATTACTTCAAAATTATGGCAATAAACATCTTATGTCTTCTCATACTTAGGTAAATACTCTTTTAGGACAATTTCTTACAAATTGCTTAGAGGTGACTGAAAGTCTGTAAGTATTTTAAATTTGTAAAAAGGGCTGATTAGTTCTTATTTTAAGAGAATTTTCCTTTAAACCATTGCATCATGAATTAATCAACTATGAGCTTGTTTTAAAAAGAGCTCTTTTCTAAAATAAACAAAAGGCATGGATATCTTAGTACCATCTAGATTGCAAAACTTTCATGTTGATCTGACTTCAACAACCTATTTTGAAAAAACACCTCTTGTATAATAAAAATGATTTAGCCCAGCTGGTGTTGCTCAATGGTTGAGTGTCAACCCATAAACCAAGAGGTAGCTCGTTCAATTCCCAGTCAGGTCATATGCCCATGTTGTGAGCTCAATCCCCAGTAGGGGGGTGTACATGAGGCAGCTGATCAATGATGTTTCTATTTCTGTATCCTTCTCCCTTCTTTTCTCTAAAATCAATAAAAACATCTTTTAAAAATAAATAAAAATGATTTAAAATATAATTCAAATGCCTGCTATATTGAACATATTTTTTTCAATATTAAAACAGTATGTTATACTTTTTTTGTCAGCTGTCTCTGTAATGTAACCCAGGTTAAAAAAAACAAAACAAAAGAAACCCTAAATATCCCTGATTGATCTACTGAACAGAATCTGATTCCTCTCCTACTCAGTATCACATACTGCTGCTTCCATTAATTCTGGCAAAGAATATTAAACTTATAGAACTTTCAGAGACTTTGGAGGTAAATGTTTGACCCACCTCACAGAAATATTGCCAACAATGAAGAGTTTCTACCAAAACATTTGGTGAGCTACACAAATGTGTTAAGAAAAATGAGAAAAAATCATGGATTACTGATGGCTCACTTGTGAAAATAAAACATGTGTCTATCTCCCAGTAGTGATGATCACACTACAGCACTTCCAGAAACCAATATGGACACTTAGGAGCTAATGCATCCCAAGCCTGGGAGCTAAGTGCCAACAAACAGGTTATCATGAGGCAGCAGCAGGGTCTATCAAGAGTGGGTCTGTTAACCACATCTGGTCAAAAAGGTAGTGCGTTCTGCTTATCAAAATTGCAATTCTGAAAAACCCTCATCCCCCAAATCACAACTAGCCTCTATGAGAATTAATTCTGAATAAATGTTCTTTGAAAGCTACAAGTGACCTCAACAGACAGATATTGGATGGCTAGTCATGTAGAAAGGGAACACTTCCATGTGAAAAGTCTCAGCTTCTAGAGCTCTGGAATCTATAACAGTGAGTGTATATTATCTACCGAAAATCATTTTCATCAAATTAATTTAACAAATTTACATTGAGAAAAAACTTTTAATATAAATTTTTAAGGTAGGGCAAATTCTATGCCATGTGAACTATATCTAAAGCCATTACTGGCCCTAGCCGGTTGGCTCAGCAGATAAAGCGTCGGCCTACGGACTGAACGGTCTCAGGTTCGATTCCGGCCAAGGGCACATGCCCAGGTTGTGGGCTCAATCCCCAGTAGGGGGCGTGCAGGAGGCAGCTGATCAATGATTCTCT